ACACAGCTAATCAAGCAACAGGGCCTTTCATGATATATCTCGAAATCAAAGATGCATCAATTTTCTTCAAATAACTCCCTCTCACAATGAACTATAGACAGCAATATAATGTCAAATTTATGCGAAACTACCGGAAAACTTTTTGACTTTGTAGCCATAGAGAATAGAATATATATTAGAGGGGAATTTACTAGAAAAAAGTGTAAAACTACCATTTTGTTGTACTGTTTCCATACTACAGGTGTACTTCACATATTTATGCTATATAACCTTTTGGGCCGTGGAATATCATTTTATAGAAAATCTAAAATTATTGTTAAAAGAAAACCAATTTATGAAATAGGCTGGTTTCATGATTGACCAATGATCATTTCACATAGACTCTATGCCTTCCACTTTACAAACGATGATTTTCCGTTATAACTATAAATCAAATGATGTTTTTTATTCATCTAATTCATTAAAAAGTTTATTTAACAGTCTAAAATATTCGAAATTGAAATGAATAGTCTAGGGAACATACTGTATTAATGTACTCTACTGCATATAATTTGTGAACATTTACATGATTTGTACACTTTGAACTCCCTTTCAGGCTGAAAGGGACTGAAAAAATTCATACCGAGAGATTCTTTAAATTCCCCTCTAATATATATTCTATTCTCTATGCTTGTAGCTCCTATAGTTTTAATTTTGCCACAAGTATAAGAAAAGCATTGAGAGGAGATATGATTAAAAACAAGAATTCAATATTACATGAAATTTACTTAAGTTTCACGTACCAGCTCGAATCCAAATTTGAACCTAACGGTGATTTATTCGAAAATGAATCGTCAATTCGCAACCGTCTGGACGATTTTGATTTTTTTTTAAAATTGCAATATTTGTTTAAGTGAAACGCAGCAACCCCTGGTGGTCGGTTGGCTTAATTCCAATATTGATCACCCTTAGTAGGTAGGGAGTTGATTGGAAGGAAGGAGATTGTCAGGTGATCTGTGGCAGGGTAGGATCAAAGGGAGAGATAACTTATGAAACTGAATTTGTCGCAATAGCAAAAAAGTAAAATATTTCGTACATAGGGGGGATTTCGCATTAACTTACTTACTTACTAACTTACTTACTTACTAACTTACTTACTAACTAACTCAGTTACTAACTTACTTACTAACTTACTTACTTACTAACTTATTTACTTACTTACTTACTTTCTTACTTACTTACTTACTTACATACTTACTTACATACTTACTTACTTACTTACTTACTTACTTACTTACTAACATACTTACTTACTTACTTACTTACTTACTTACTTACATACTTACTTACATACTTACTTACTTACTTACTTACTTACTTACTTACTTACTACAGACGCTTTGAGTAAATAAATAGTAAGCAAAAAATTGAATAATCTTTTTTGAAATGATCTGATAAATATAATTAATTATAGGAACATATCAAAATTACTACGATAAGAAGATAATTAATATGTTTTCTTTATGATTAATTATTTAATTGATTAATTAACAGTTATGTTACACCAAATATATAAACATTTATCAACATTGTTTATAATAAACTTGCTTGGGAACCCGGCTTTGCCAGGAAACTTAACTAAGAATTTTTATACCAAGCTAAAAACGTTTTCACTGAATTCTTCAATCAAAATTTGACTAAAATCGGCCGTTCAAGGGGTTCCTGAGTTAGGATCGGACATTCAAACAGACTGACAAACAGAGATTACCTGCATTATATATAAACTTTAATTTATAGTATTTTACTGCAAAGTATGGTTAACTTTTTTTCCGAAAGTTTCTGGTATTCTACCAAAATTATTCATTTTGGACTATTAGCTATTAGCTAAAGCTTATTAAAAATAGAAAAATGCATATAAGAGTCTTCCAAAGAATCAGTTTTGTCAATTACCACTATGTCAACTGCATCACTATGTCAAAATGTATATTATGTAAACTAAATTTGTTTTTAAAAGTCAAATCAAAATTACTAAAAATTTAAAAAGTGGTATTAACTGTTCAGCGTACATATTTGGGGCAGTTGACCAAACTGATTCTTTGGAGAGTCTTTTGTAAATTTGTTAGTTTTAAAATTGAGAATATTTTACGAAAAATTACTTTTCATACGTTAATCCCCTCCTCCCCTGATAATTTGCTCCCTTTATTTTGTTCCGGGGTAATCCCCCCACGGAATAACGTAAAAGAAATTT